TAATTCTGGTGTCATCATGTTGTGTCCACATGATTTTCGCATTACTTTTCTGAGGACTGACAAATACTCTGCCACTACTTCCTGTGCCCTTATATAAGGCAGACATAACTAATCTATAACAGTAACTTTCCTACTGTGGTTAGATTAACTCTAAGTGCTATCTTCTAATTCACCAGATTTGGCAAGTAAGATAAAATCTACTTGCCAGCTTAGTCCATCTAGAGTTCTCAGTTTTAAATTACCTTGCTTCCCAGTACAAGAAATACATAGATGTTTATGGAATGCTCTTGGTAATTTGATTAGGCTAGGATTAGAGGATATATGTCCTGTAACATTACCTTCTAGTTGCTTATCCTTCTAAATTAATCTGCTTTCTGGTGTTTGCTACTTTCATTGACTCCCCTTTTCCATTCAGATAGTACGTAAAAATTATTTTCTTTTTGGAGTACTTAGATTTTTTCTCTTAAAAGCTCAAAATATATTATTATGGATTGGTTTATCTTCAGGCAAAATGATCCATGATCCATGACCCAAAAGATATTTTAGACTGCATTAACATATGTATTGGGTGTAAAAACAAACAAGCTTACAGTCCTGATCAAATTTGCACACGTCAGATGACACACAGAATATTGTACTTGATGTAGGGCACTGCATTTTATCAGAGAAAGATGGTACAGAGACTCATATCTATTTTATATAACAAACAGATTAAGAAGCAAGACATGTTTATCCATAAATATGAAGAGAACCCCAAAGGGAACCAGTTACTTTCTTCATGAATTAGTTGGCCTATTATATAGAAGAGAATTGTACATCAGTTCAGAAGATATAAATAAGGACAATGGCTAGGAAGTTGTAATTCACTGAAATGTTACTTGAAAAAGACCACTTTGTCAAATAAATATGATAAATACACGTACCATGCACCTTATGAGAAGATTTACAAGCATTTTCTCAGAACTAGAAAAAATGATGCTAAAATTCCTATGAAAGCACAAGAGACCCTGAATAGCTAAAGCAATCCTAAACAGCAAAAATGAAGCCAGAGGCATGACAATACCAGATTTCAAGACATACTACAGGGCAGTTATAATCAAAACAGCCTGGTACTGGCACAGAAATAGACATGAAGACCAAAGGAACAGAATAGAAACTCCAGAAATTAATCCATGTATCTACAACCAACTAATCTTTGTCAAAGGAACTAAAACCAATCCCTGGAGAATGGACAGTCTCTTCAACAAATAGTGCTGGGAAAATTGGATCTCTGCATGCAGAACTATGAAACAAGACCCCTACCTTACACCTTATACAAAAATCAACTCAAAATGAATCAAGGATCTAAATCTATGACCCAATACCATTAAATTATTAGAGGAGAACATTAGGGAAACTCTGCAAGATATTGGCATAGGCAAAGACTTTCTGGAAGACTCCAGAAGCACAGGCAATAAAAGCAAATATAGACAAATGAGATTACATAAAGCTAAGAAACTTCTACACTGCAAAAGAAACAGTCAACAAAGTGAAGAGGCAACTGACAGAATGGGAGAAAATAATTTCAAACCATTTCAACTGATAAAGGATTAATATCCAGTATCTATAAAGAGCTTAAGAAACTCAACAACAATAAAACAAGCAATCCAGTTAAGAAATGGGCAAAGGACTCAAACAGACATTTTTTTTAAAGAGGAAATTCAGATGGCCAACAGACATATGAAACAATGCTCAGGATTACTAGCCATCAGGGAAATGCAAATCAGAACCACAATGAGGTTTCACCTCACCACAGTAAGAATGGCTCTCATACAGAAATCAACAAACAATAAATGCTGGTGAGGATGTGGGGAGAAAGGTACCCTACTACATTGTTGTTGGGAATGTAAACTAGTATAGTCATTGTGGAAGACAGTTTTGAGATTCCTAAGAAAGCTAAAAATAGATTTACCATATGACCCAGCCATCCCACTCCTGGGAATTTATTCATATAAAATAATAATCAGCATATGAAAGAGTCATCAGTACCCCCATCTTTATTGCAGCTCAATTCACAGTAGCTAAGAAATGGAATCAACCTAGATGTCCTTCAGCTGATAACTGGATAAAGAAAATATGGTATAAATACATTTTGGTATACTACTCAGCCATAAAAAAGAATGAAATCCTGCCTTTTACAGCAAAATGGATGCAACTGGAAATCATTATACTTGTGAAATAATCCATTCCCAAAAAAACAAATGCCATAAGTTTTCCATGGTATGTGGTAACTAATAGAGTACAAAAAAATGTAATGTATATGAGCTAAATTGACATTTTGAGATTTGATTATTTTTACAACCCTTGCCTCTACTGTTGAGGAACAGTGTTTTTATTCTTACTATTTGTTGAATTCTTAGTGTAGGGTTAATCTTAGGAGTATAAAGTAAATTGAAAGTAGATCATTGTAAAAATTGAGAGGGAATAAGAGAGGAAGGAGGAGGAAGGGTGGGAGCATGGGTAAGAGGCAGGGTAGGGTAGGGAGTATCATTATGTTCCTAAATATAGGAAATTTGTTTACTTTATTTAAAATGAAATAACAAAATAAAATAAATTATTATCCAAGAAAATAAACTGAAAGTATGTCTGTAAAAATTAAAATAAATAATAAGGAAGGAGGAGAGAGGGTAGAAGCATGGATGTGATGGAAGGTAGAGTGTGAAATGTCACTATACTCCTAAATCTGTATAAATATGAAATACATGAAATTTATTCTTCTTATATAAATAAAAATTATATAAAAACAAATGTATGTTAAGGGCTCTGAAAGAACCACACAGTAAAAGATCTCTTTAAATTTGTTAATCTCAGCATTGTATAAATACCTACCTCAGAACTGGTATTAGGAACTTGCATTAGGGTAGTGATTCTCAACATGTGATAATGAGACATGGAATATCAGAGTTATCTGAAACTGATTGCAAATGCACTTTCTTTTTTTTTTAAGATTTATTTATTTATTTGAAAGTCAGAGTTACGCAGAGAGAGAAGGAGAAGCAGAGAGAGAGAGAGATATTCTGTCTGCTGGTTCACTCCCCAACTGGCCACAACAGCCAGAGCTGTGCCATCTTGTACTGCCTTCTCAGGCTATAGCAGAGAACTGGATTGGAAGTGGAGCATCCAGGACTCGAACTGGTGCCCATATGCTGGCACTACAGGTGGTGGCTTTACCTGCTACACTACAGCGCTGGCCCCATCAAATGCAGTTTCTTGTCCTGCCCCAGGCCTATAGATTTGAAACTCTGGGGTGGGCCCAACAATTTCTGTAGTCAGTCCTCTTGAGACTTCTGATGCTGCTGAAATTTGAAAAGCACTGCTAGAAAATTCCACTATTATTCTCCAACTCAACAGCACCCGTCTGGCTTCCTTTATAATATTTACTATAATATTTATGATTTTTAAGCATTTATTTGAAAATTACTTATAGTAAGAGACAGAGAAAGATAAAGACAGAGCTAGATAGATAGAGATCTTTCACCCACTGGTTCATTCCCAAAATGGCCACAATGGTCAGGGCTAGGCCAGTCCAAAGCCAGGAGCCAGGAGCTTTATCAGGATCTCCCATGTGGGGACCAAGGGCCCAGATACTTTGTTCATCTTCTATTGCTTTTCCCAGGCACATTATCAGGGAGCTGGATTGGAAGTAGAGATGCCAGGACTGGAACTGGTGCCCAAACAGGGTGCTGGTGTTGCAGGTGGCAACTTAACCACTATGCCATAATGCTGGCACCGTGATTTTTATGTTTCAAGGTTTGTTCTAATGTCATTCTATAGCTATGATTCATTTTATATAAATGGGGTCCCTTGTGAGGTACAGAGGAAGGAAAATGTTATTGAAAGCCTGCCATGATTTTCACCCTAGTGTAGGTGCCATCTAGCTGGGATCAATTTGGTACTTTAAAGAATCTTAAATAATGAATCCATATCTTATATAAAGTGAAATACACATTTCTGCAATGAGGCAAAAGTTGAATTAATTGCTATGACCATTTTTAAAAGAATATTTATTTTTTATTATTTACTTCAAAATGTTCTTTGACAAATGTATACCTTTTCTAGTATCTTGAAACAATCAGCAATATGCCTTCTCCCATGTTAGAAATGTATAACATTAGAAAAGTCTCTATACCTTTTTCTTTGGTGAAGATTAAAATTCTGGTGGTATTAAATTTATGCCTCTAAAAATACTTTCCGAGGAACATAATTAAAGTAGAACTTAAATATGTTTGTATATAAAAAGAAAAAGCATTCCCAAAAGTGTACACATAACTATCACCTTATTTATCTTACTGGGTTGCAAGATGCATTTTGAATGTGTATATGAGATTCCTCTACAGATCATGCAAAATAATTTTCATTTTTGAAGGGCAATGAAGTGTCATACTATATTTAACTTAACTGCATTTAGGACAAAATTATTATTAGTATTTTCTTGGAATGTATTATGGCCAAATTCATAATCCTGTTTTGTTGCCTCTTTTTCATTCAAGCCAGTATTCTCTGGTTTTATATTATTAGGTCAATTGAGGTTTTATTTATTTTTAGCTAGATGAACAAATACTGATAGTCTAGAGATTGGATTTTGATTTGGTTGCTGCTTTCCAACAGTAGAATGCCTTGGGGGTATCCACTTACATTAATGAATTTAACTAGTGCTATCATTATTACTATATTTAAACATCCAGGGCTGGCAGGAATGTGCTAAAGTCTGAATATAGCATAGTTAATTATGTCACTGTCCCTGCTCAGGGCAACTGCTACTGAAAGGGCATACCCACATGATGAAGAATATACCAGATACAGTAGTTTGGAGCTGTTATCTTCACTGCTGAGTCACCGAAAGAGGTCTATGATGTTGGCTGTGTTTTCTAAAGAGCACCTAGCTGTTTCCATTTTATATATTAACTTCCCGGATGGGATTTTTATTATATTTTTGTACTTATTATTATATATCTCTTTAGTTTTCCTCACAGGAGAAAAAGCCAATTCAGTATTAAAGCGCTACCCAAGAGCTAATGGACTTTTTGAAGAAATAAGACAGGGCAACATTGAGCGTGAGTGCAAAGAAGAAGTCTGCACATTCGAGGAAGCTAGAGAAGCTTTTGAAAATAATGAAAAAACTGTAAGTATATTGGGATTTTTAAAATGCTCACATATTTGCCTACCTGTTTGATATATTGTATGTGTATATATATATGTGTGGGGTGTGGGGTGTGTGTGTGTGTGTGTGTGTATTTGAAATCTGCATTCCCAAAATGTATGGATTCCTATCAGTTAAAAGTTATCTCTGTGAAGAATTCTGAAAGTGGCGTGTAACTAATTATATTCTGTGTGTAGGAGTTAGGTTCATTTCCTATGTGCTGATCTGTCTTTGAGAGCCCTATTCCCATGGACTCTTCTGAGCTAGGATTTATCATCTCAGCAAAAATCAAACAATTAGATTGCACAGTGCTATGTTCTGGAAAGTTATTACTAAGTTTAATTACCTTGCCATGCCTAATCAGAGAGAAAGGTTGGAGGAAGCTAATGGATGCTGATGCTGTTTTTAAATGTTTTACTTCTCATACAGAAAAAAAGGCACAGCCGTACTTCCCTGTCCACTCCCTGTGAATCCTCCTGTTGAGCGCTCTTCCCTGTACATGCTATTCAAGGAGAGCAGGAGCAGGAAAGCACAAGGCAGGGCTATCAGTCCTATGGAACTGCTCCATTGCTGGAAATTGCGTTACCGAAGGTAGCATTGTATGAAGATCCAGTTCAGTGCAACACAAAAATAACAGTAGATACTAAACTTATGATGTCAGATGTGCTAGAGGGACATCAAGTATGTATCCAGAGCAGAAGAATTTTAAAGAAAGAGAATTTTATTTTTCATGAGGTAGAAAAGGGTCCAGGAGCCGGTGCTGTGGCGCAGTGGGTTAACTCCCTGGCCTGAAGCGCCAGCATCCCATATGGACACTGATTCGAGTCCTGGCTGCTCCACTTCCAACCCAGCTCTCTGCTATGGCCTGGGAAAGCAGTGGAAGATGGCCCAAGTCCTTGGGCCCCTGCACCCACGTGGGAGACCTGGAAGAAGCTCCTGGCTCCTGGCTTCGGATCGGTGTAGCTCCGGCCATTGTGGCCAATTGGGGAATGAACCAGCGAATGGAAGACCTCTCTCTCCCTGCCTCTCCTTCTCTCTCTGTGTAACTCTGACTTTCAAATAAATAAATAAATAAATCTTTAAAAAGAAAAGAAAAGTGTCCAGGGATAAGAGAAAGGAGTTCAAGGAAGGAGGCTCACAGAATCATCATGGCTAGATTCCAACTTGTACAGCAAGAGAAAAATCATTTTTTAAATTGATAAACTGTGAGCCTAATTGTTATAAAATATTTTTTAAATCATCTGGTTAAAAACAGAGAAAAGAATATATAGTCCATAAGGTTTTATTTATTTGTAAGGAAGAGTGACACGGAGAGATGGAAAGACAAAGAAAGATCTTCTATCCTCTGCTTCACTCCCCAAATGCCTGCAACATCTGGGGCTGGGCCAGGCTGAGGCTGGAAGCCATAAACTCCATCTAGATCTCCCAAGTGAGTGGCAGGAACCCAAGTATTTGGGCCATCCAGTCACATTAGCAGGAATCTAGGTTGGAAGCCATGTAGCTGGGTCTCACACTGGTATGGGATACAAGTGTCCTAAGCAGCAACTTAATCCCCTGTGCCGTAGTGCCGGCCTCTGAAATTTCTTGGTCTAAAATATATTAGACTACTGAATAGCATTTTTTATTCATTTAATGCCATATGGGGTTTATTTTTTAACATTTTTATTTATTAATATAAAGAGAACAGATTTCTTGTATTTCATAGATACAATTCTAAGAATATAATGATACTTTCCTCCTTCCTTCCTCCCTCCTCCTAAGTTGCTTTTTTAATTTTAATTTTTGTGATAACATACTTTCAATTTGATTTATAATCAGAGGCTGAATACTCCTCTAAATAAAGAGGTCTACAAGAAAAAGCAGAAAGACCTCTGGTCCACAAAAATATAGGCAAGGGTTATAAACAGTAATCAAATAACAAGATAATCAAGCCAGATGTCCATCAAATGATAACTAGATTTAAAAATGTGATATAAATACATGATGGAATGCTACTCAGCCATAAAAATAATGAAATGCTGTCTTTTGCAACAAAATGGATGCAACTGATGAAATAAGCCAGACCCTAAAAGACAAATGTGATTCTCTGATTTGTGGTAGCTAATATGTAGAGTACAAAAAAATCTTAATATATATGAGTGAATAACATTCTTTCTTAAAAATCACTTTATTGAGGTATGATTGACATATACAAAGCTGTAAATTTACTTAATATACATATTTTTATGAGTGTGGAGATAAATGTATAGCTGTGAAACTGTTGCCATCATTAAGGCCACAAATACATCACCTTCCAAACCTTTTCCTTCCCTCTTTATCATTATTGATAGTTTGCATGTGTGTGGTGTATGATGAGAGCATTTAACTTATGATCTATAATCTTAGCAAAATGTACATACTCAATACAGTATTGTTAGCTGTAGGCACTATGCTAAACAATCATTGTCTAGAGTGGGTTTGTCTTGCATAACTTTAACGACATACACTTTGACCATCTCTTCTCCATTTTCCCTTCTCCCCAGATTCTGGAAGCCACCATTCTCCAATCTGCCTCTATGAGTTCAAATATTTTAGATTCCATATATGAATGAAATCATGAAGTATTTGTCTTTCTGTGCCTCACTTACTTCATTTAAAATAATTTCCTCTAGGCCTATCCATGTTGTTGTAAATGACCAGATTTACTTCCTTCTTAAGGATGAATAATATTCAGTTGCATATTTATACAACATTTTCTTTATACATTCATCTACAATGGACATTTATTACTTTTAGTTGAAAATGATATTTAGAAACCAAAATCTGGTAACTATGGTGTGCTCATTGCTACCAAGATGTTATGAATTCTGGGCCTTTCTAGACTTTTTTGTGCAAAGACAGAGATTGAGCTGTTGAGGCCTTGATACCAACCTTGAGCACTTGACTTCTCCATATAGAACCTGGGTGTAGGAGATTCAAAATCGAATCTCTTCCCCCTTTACATCCTGCTTACAAATCACTTAAAATGTATAATAAAAAAAAATGAATGGGGAAGTGTGAAGAGTTAGATGGGCTAATGAGCAGTTAGGCCAGTTGGAAGATAAGCCAGTTGGAAGGCAGAGCTAGGAAGGATTATAATTCCTGCCTTCTGATTAGCTCCTCCCAGTTGGTAAAATCTAGGTTTGATTTTCAGAAAGGACCCAATCAGAGAGAACCACTTTGTACTTTAAAAGGGCAACTCCTACAGGTTTAACTGGCAACTCCTCACTTGGAGCCCCTCTCCTAACTGCTGCAACCAGAAGTTTCTCACTTTCAATAAATCTTGCTTTGCTCACTGTCCCTGTCCACTTGGAAATTCTTCGATGTGAGACAAGAACCGAGATTGCCCTTGTCCTCATCCTCCTGCAACAATAAATTAATGTAACTTGACTGGAGTGAGAATTTTTTATCTTCAGCTATATTTTTCAACTTTATGAGGAACCTTATCATCAAACGCCATGGCTAGTAATGTTACCAACAAGACAGATCCTCCCTCTATGAACTCCCATATATTCTTTGGGAATCTCAACACTCTTCTGGTCAAGAAGTCTGAATCTTTTTGAAGTATGGTAAAATTCTGGGTTGCTCCATTCATAAGGGATTTGCCTTCATTCAATATGTTAATGAGAAAATGCCCAGACTGCTGTAGCAGGAGAGGATGAGAGAATGATTGCTGGCCAGGTTTCAGGTATTAATCCGGTTGCAGAGCCAAAAGTGAACCGAAGAAAACAGGTATGAAATGATCTGTAACAGAGATGTACAGCTCCTCTTTTGACTTGTACATGATTTTTATGATAAAATGTACAGTTACACAGCACATGTTCTTCCGCCCCTTCCAATTGCTTAGGCTGTAGTACCCTCTAAATGCCAGGGAACGACTCACAAAAGAGCAAACTGTCTTCAATTCCAAGACTAGACAGCAGGGATCTTCTTCTTCCAAGTCTGATGGCTTGAAAGTAACTAACCTTCAGGCCATTAAGAAGGAGTTAACCCAGGTAAAGAAAAAAGTGGATTCTGTACTAGAAATCCTGGGAAAAAACTGAAAAGGAATTAAGTGAACAAAGAGTAGAGATGAAGAAAGCCAAGTCCGAAGAAGAGCAGAACAGAAGTTCCCTGAAGAACGACTAATGTAAAGATGTAGTCTGAGGAAGCACACAGGACTCAGCTGAGAGGAGCCTACTGGGTGTTGGTAGTAATGATCAGAGGATGACCAGCTTATGTGGATCAAGGATGATGAAAAAGAGGCTCAGGAAGGAGAGGATGCCAGAGATAGCACCAATGGCAAGGATGACTCAAGAACATAGTGAGGTTTAGGAATCTTATCCCATTATGTCTCTAAGATCAGCATCTCCACCAGTTCCTCTCCCCTAGGATCCTCAGCACATGTTCACTGTTTTCTCCATTGTGTCCTTCCCATGTTCAGTAATTCATATTGTTCTGTGCCTAGTCCCATTTTCACTTCCTTTGATGTTCCCAGGAGTTAAGTTTTGCCCTGTAATTTTTGCTTTTAATTTTGATACTTCTTTATGACTTGACAATACAAAGGATGTATGGCTTTTATCAAATGTCTACAAAACAACTTCTTGTTAATGCATAGTTGAGTTCTTCCCATCCATCCATGAGTTCAGTAGTTGCATCCTTAACTGCTAAGGCCATCTCATTTAGTTGAGCAGCACCTAAAAGCAGGCTTGAGTTAGAGTTGTGTGTGTTCTCTTTGTTTTTAAGATTTTATTATTTATTTGAAAGGCAGAGTTACAGACAGAGAGAGGGAGAGACAGAGAGAAAGGTCTTCCATCCACTGGTTCACTCCCCAGATGGCCGGAATGGTCGGAGCTTGGCTAGGCCAAGACCGGGAGCCAGGAGCTTCTTGCAAGACTTCAGGTGGGTGCAGGGGTCCAAGCACTTGTGCCATCTTCCACTATCTGCCCAGTTCATAGCAGAGAGCTGAATCAGAAGAGGAGCAG